TATCGGATTGACGTCGGGTACCGTTTAAGCGAAAATTATTAATGCATAAATGTGGGAGTCAATGTAAAGTTATTCCCATAATTCTGCAATTGAGAGAAAATTATATGATTGAATGAAATATCGGGAATTGTGTTATAAAATGGACAGTTTGCCGACTTATTCTTAATTTGTATAATAAGGGGAGATTTAAATAGTTTAGGTCCATTCCCGAGAACTCATTCGTTAAATTGTAACTCTGATGTTGAAGGATTCAATAAGTGTCGTTAACCTTGTTTAGGGTAAAGAAATTGTAGAGAGAAAACATAATTTACAGGTTGAGGGATTATTCTTAGATTCGTCATAAAGTCTATAAATTGTTCACTAAATCTGGAGATGATTTGCACCTTGGAGAAAAGGAATAACTCCACATGATACTTATTATGCTGAATATTCCATACGGCATTCATGAGATTAAGGAATTAAACATAAGACACAAGGACATTAGTCTTTAATCAGGAGTTTGGAATTATGGGTGTTTAACATTTTTTGATCTCTTACTTAGCTAGAGAATGTCATGAATTTTGTTTTGCAAATAAAGCTCTGTCAGTAGGTTTGGCAAGAATTTTGTTCTCTTTATTCGGTAAATTATCAAATAGTACTTAACTAGCAGAATTTTGGTAAGATATCGAAAAACTTTTCTTGAGCATTATTAGGGCAGCAATCATTCGGTTTACTTGAATTATGACACAACGTCAAAATTGAATTTATGAGGCAAATATATGGATGGATCGGTTGATGCTGAACAATGGGATGGAGCTCGAGCAGCTTTCTGTAGGTTTTTAGACAAATTTTTTCAAAATAAGGGAGTCCAAATTGAGGATAGTAGTGAAACTTTGACCTTCTGAATATGCGGATTCTATAATTATAAGAAGCGTTAAATCACTTGGATATAGATGTCATGAGTTTCTTATTGGGAGCGCATGATCTTTGCCTCATGATAGCTAGTTGAGAAGATAAAATGACGATACATCAAATGTTAAGGACTACAATTGGATTTAGGCTAATGAGCACTCAATTACCCCTTATTTTAAGCAAGCTACGGTTAAAGTTGATTAAAATTCTACGTGTAGAAGGGTGGTACTACTAGTTGGCTCGAATCTGTACTTTTACAGGTTAAATGAATATTTTGAACTTGGACTTGATCCACGACTTATAGATATAGTACAACTCAAGTTTAAATTAACTATGGTTAATAAGGTAGGTAACGTTGGTTCGTGGCTTCCTTAATCACTCATCTCATAATATCCTACCCTTTCCCTTATCCTACTATTGAATTTCCTCGTCCATTGGTTTTTGTCTTCCTTAATTCTACACTAAAACTTAATTTCCTACATCCTGGTCCTGGAACTAAACGAACTAAAACATATTTATCTCATTTCTTCCTTGAATTTCACTTCTTCTACTCTGCTCAAACAGATTATGTGAGAAGTACAGCCACCGCTTTGTCGATAAACATTGTTGCATCCTAGGTTTCTGTTTACTTTTCAAAATTCGAGGACGAATTTTTTTAAGGGGGGAGACTGAACTAACCCCGAAGAATTTTTATATTTTCAAAATTTTTCCAATTAATTTTAATGAACCGACAGGCCTGGACAAATAAAATTAAATTATTTTAGTGCAACTACTATGAGAAAAACCGAAACTCAAAAAAACCGATTGAAAAAAATTTGAAACCAGTTTAAAAAATCTCGAATTGATTTGGGCCGAATCAAACCGTTCGACCACAACCATCTAGAAATTCTCTTTTTCTTTTATCTCCAACGCTTAAAGCTCACTCCCCCCTCAACCAGCGGCACCTCCCACTCCATCGCCACTGTCACCACAGGCCGCCACGCCACTCCTCCTCTTCTTCTTTCTTTTCTTCTCCTTCTTCTTCTTCTTCTCCTTCTTTTCTTTTTCTTTCTTCCTTTTTCTTTCTATTTCCTTTCCATTGTGCTCGCGTTCTTTGGCGAGGACCAGACGGGTCAACGCAGAGCAGGGCCGCGCGCCACTTGCCACTCGGCCACCGGCCCCTACTGCAGCTCGGCAACGCAAGTGCAGCTCCTCCGTCTCCTCGGCCAGATCGCCGTTGCTGTTCCTCTCGTCGCGGCCGCTACACAGCACGCAGCAAGCCTTGTCAAGCCGTCGCTGCCACTTACGATCGGGCCTCCGCAGTCGTCACAGAGCTCTGCCGGTTCTTTCCAGCACGCCGATCGGTCGTCTCCACCTCTCTCCGCCACTGCCCTAGTCGAGTTTCGCACCACCGGCAGTTACTGCTTTTTAACGCCCGACACGCGTAAGAATTTTCGAACTCTAGCAATAATTAATTATTAACGTTAATTTAGTTAATGTTATTTAGTTAATGTTATTAGTAGTTAATTAAGTTACTTAATTGTTGTTAATGTTAAATGTTATTTAGATAATGAAATATTAGATTAAATTAAATTAGTTTGATCTAGTATTATTAATATCTTAGATAATTGACAATTTATTTATTATTTTGTATTAATTAATCTAGCTAAAGTTAATGTTAGAAATCGTTAGATATGAATAATTTAATCTTTATTATTTGTAGTTAATTCATTTTGGGTAAATGTCGAGAGTGTAAATCTTTATAATTATTGTTGATTTTTAAGTTTTAAGGTAGCTTAGATATATGTTATTGTAATGTATCGTTAAATTGGACTTGTGTCGGTGATGTTTGTAGATTAGGAGGATGGGAAGCTGTGTTTGATTATAGTGATGTTGAGATTGATGGAGGATGGAAAAATTTGATTGATTGATTGCCCGATGGATGGGCTGTGTGGTTTGGAAATATTTGATATTGTTGATATTTTAGCAGGTGGATAGTCCAATTTTAGGGGAGATGCTGCCGAAATTTCGGTAGAAATATAAAAGAAATTTCGATAGAAAAATAAAATAAATTTCAGTAGGAAATAAAATACAAGTTAGAAGAAAATAAATAAAATAGTGTTCGGTAGAAAAATAAATTATTATAGAAAAGAAATTAAATCTGAAGATTAAATTACGTAGAGAAGTTAGAATATAAAATAAAATTTTTAGAGTGGTAAAGGAATATTTTGTCTGATAGAATTATTCTTTTGTGTCATTCTTGTAATTTCTTAGATCGCCCGGGTCCATCTAGTGCTCCTCCAGGACAGAATCAAAGATAGAACCTCGCTCTCCATCACTGTGAGTAATAATGAATAATGCACATCAACATTGCATTTGCATAACATTTATTTATAAACATTATATTTTCATTTACATATTCATTATGTTTTATTTTACATATTTTACAATTATTACAAGTATTTTATTCATATATTATTTTAAGTCTACGATCATTATTAATTATACTCTATATATAAAATTGGTGTTTGGATGGAAATTTGGTGTAATACGTTGAAGAATTGTTTTGATTACTGTGCTTTGTTTGTGCTTGGAATTAGGATGAAAGTGGGTCACCATGGGTTTGTGAGACTGTTTCTGTTATACGGATCCTGATTCTGATTTCTGTTATTTATATTCTGATTCTGTATATGGATCTAAATTTCTGTTTCTGTTGCGGGGTAAATGGAGCCATCGCGGCCCCTTGTGCACCTGAGTAATTCCTGTTTGATTCTGAAAACCACAGGATGGCCCGCTTGTTGTTGACGCACCTGAAAATCTAGGATTTGATTATGCAGGCGCCAGGTGGTGGCCTCCTGTTGTTGAGCGCTTGATTGATCTAGATTGGATTGGAGACCACCGGGTTGCCTCCTTGGTATTTGAAAAAAAAAAAAAAAAAAAAAAAAAAAAAATGGAGGAGAATGATTAAACAAAATGAGAGGGCTTGGTCAAGTGAGGATCTAGGACCCGGTCGGCCAGTATGGGGATCGGCTCCCCTGGTGCACATGTGAGAGGATGATTCGATGTGAGGACGGACTCATCGGTGGGGTTCGGTGACTCCACTGACTAATTTCCCACGTGATGTTGATTATTTGAACTAATTTCCACGTGATGTGATTATTTGAAGGTGATATTGTTTGTGGGTGCTGATGTAATGTCATATGATTGACTGTTGTGTGTTCATTCAGTATATTATGGTGCATTTTGCTTGACTGTATGTGGTGTGTATTATTTATTATTATTCACTGAGTTGCAAAACTCACCCCTCCCCAACAAACCTTCCAGGTACTAGGAAGCAGCTGATTCGGCTGAAGCTCTGCAATCTTCTCTGCAGAGTTACAAATGTAAACTTTATATTCATGTTATTTAATTTTGGATGTATAAATTATTCTGTTATCAGATTATTTTTGGACTCCGCAGTTATAGTATGAATATTGGATCTACTTTGTTAGCATTACACTATAAATCTATAATTATGCAACTAGCCCCTCACTGTGAAACCAGTTAAGCCCATAATGCCTGATTATAATTTATTGTGAATTTAGGCCCCAGGTTAATATATTATGTTGTTAATCAGATTGGGCCATATGTTTGTATAGGAAGGCTCTACTGTTTTGACTGTGAAAATTTTGGAGAAGATTGAAAATCCGAAGTTAGGCTTACTAGGGCCGTCGGGGCTTTAAGCTTACCTGGGCCTAGTTGTTAGGCTTACTACGGGCCTCGGGGGCCTTAAGCTTACCTGGGCCCTAGTGCCGGTCCGGCCCACGGAAACGGGTCGTGACAATAATCTAATTTTATGATTTGTATGTTAAGTTAAGACGGTGTATCCGGCACCGAATGTGGCATCCGTCGTCGGGTCTCATGGGACTAGCCAGAGGGTGTTACATATAATCTATCCAAATAGAATAAATAAGAGATAAGATGGTATAAAAACATAATTTGATCTTGGAATATTCAAATAAATAAGGATTAAATATTGTTATTAATCAAAAATTTATTTAGAATATTTGTAATTATTTTTATTCACAAATCAATAGCTTATTATTTTATCTTAGAATATTCAAATAAATAAGGATTAAATATTGTTATTAATCAAAAATTTATTTAGAATATTTGTAATTATTTTTTATTCACAAATCAATAGCTTTTAAAAATAATAACATAATTCAGTGATAATATTTATTTAAAAAATATATAATACTTGCGTGCGAAGCTCGAAAATTTGACTAGTTATTATTAAATGGCTGATGTAATAATTTTAACTTTTGATTTTTTTTATTTTGATATACTATTACAAAAAAAAATTTCGAATTTGATTACCAATAATATATATATGTATTTATTTTTATATATGGTGAGATCTTGGATCAAATGGTTATTTATTTTTGACTTCGTAATAATTCCATTTTGTCAAAAATTCTATTGTAAAAAAATTATCATAATGTTTCATCAAATACTAAATATGTATGATAGTGGTTTGCACCTATTTTTATACATGTAATAATTATAACTAAAAATATTGAATTTTTATATTATTTTTGTAAAAATTAATTATGAATTTTTTATTATCTTTGTAAAAATTTAATAAAAAAGTATATAAAAAAATTAACATTATAAATAATCATTTCTAAAAAGTATGTTTATTACATGTAATTGGAACCACAACAAAGATTATTATGTAATATACCTATATTATTATAGATGATAATACTTATAAGCAAGGTTTTATTAATTAGTTTTTTTCTAATTGGCTTTTATTTCTTAAGCTCTTCTTGTATTATTAATTTAATTCCTTTACTCTATACTAAAACATTATATTATTTTTGTAAAAATTAATAAAAAGTATATAAAAAATAAATTATAAATAATCATTCTAACAAGTATGTTGTATTACATGTAATTGAACACCAGTGTATGTATATATATATATATAGATGATAATACTTATAAGCAAGGGTTATTATTATTTTTTTCTATTGCTTTTATTCTTAGCTCTTTGTATTATTAATTTAATTCCTTACTTATACTAAAACATTATTTCTCATTTGTATTTTTTTAAACAAAATTATCTAGTTTTTAAGTATATATATATATATATATATACATTACCTCCGTTCTATAATACTTGTCACATTTGACAAAATAGTTTATTTCAAAATACTTGTCACATTTTATAGTTTCAAAGAATGATAAATATTTATTTTCTTTGTTTACCCTTTTTTTATATGACCAATAATTATTAATTCAATTTAATGATTTTCTTAGAGAATTAGTATTAAATTAAAGGTAACATAATCAATTTACTCAATTTCTTATAACTTAGATAAATTTAATAATTTTCTTAAATGATGTAAAATTTTAAATATTATAAGTATTATGGAACAAAAATAGTATATAAAGTGCGAAGTAACGACGGATATAATTATATTTTCTTGGGATTTTCTTTTCTTTTATCCTTGTCCTGCAACCTTGAGATATTTTCATACAATAAGGGCGGCAGGTTTGTTGGCATGTGAAGCAAAAATTTATTCAGGAGAGAGAATATTTTGTTATGCAACTGTGAGATCAAAGAACCAAAACTTGATGGCAATAACAGTAGGGCGGCTTTAGATGAAGTCAAACTGAGCCTAACATTCTTCTCTTCAAGAAAGTAAATGGTGAAGCTTTACATTGGTTTTAATGAAGGCTTTCCCATAGTTGGTCCAACTATCTTACAACTGTTGAAAATATAGTTTAATTGGAAGTGTTCCAATTAATAAAATCATTGATAGACAAACTGTGTTGCATCAAACTAATTGTTTCATTAGTTGTTAAACTGTACTATTATCCCAAATATAAATTATTTTTTAGTAGTTATTTTATATCGAAATATAAATTGTTTTGAATATTTTAAAAAAATAATAAATGATATTTATCCTTAATTTTATTATAATTTAGAAGAATTAATTGCTTTTTTAATTTCTGTATTATATTTTAGAACAGAAAAAGTAATGTCAATTATTTTATTATTATTGCACTAAACTTTAAAAGATTAATCTTTTTTATCAAGCCTCCCAATCTATAAATATTAGGGATGATATTTTAATTTGGTCAAAACATTAAATGATACATTAAAATTATTGTTGAATGAGGCCATACCTTAAAGTGTATATTATTATAGATATAAGTTAAATATTAAAATTTTAGTAGTTATCTCGAAAATATTTGTGTGAAATTTGAAATATCCGAGATATATTTGCTTAATTAATCCCCAGAATGCTCGAACCACTCAAGTAGTTGGTAAGAGCAAAGTAAACAACGTTAGTAAAAAGTGTTTCGCTGCAACCAAACTCCATGCTCTGTGAAGCTCACTATTTACTATTCTATTCTATTATATTGATATTTTGTCAGATCAAATCAAATCATTTGAAACCCTAAACAGTTCCGATCCAAATCCAATACAATTCCATGTCTCCGAAGAAACCACACGAGCGCCAAATGCTCGAGTCTGTGTATTCCATGATCGCTCTGGTTCTCATACTTGTCGCCTGCGTCGAGCTCTGTGACGCCGCCACCGTCGTCGACGTTTACCGTCTTATTCAGTATGACATCTCCGGTGTCCCCTTCGGATCTCGCCTCGCCAACCTTAACCACCACGCTGGCTCTTTGCATTTCGCTCCTGGTGCCGATCTTTCGCGTACCGTTGTCATGATTCCTGTTCGGGAACTAAATATCACTTTTGTTAAAGGTACCTGTTTCCTGTTAGTTGCTAATTGTTACTTAAGTTAAGTTGCTTCTTAATCTAGTAGGTTCCTAGTCTTTCCAAATTAAGTGGAAGTGTATGTACTGGACTTTTGTCATATTGATTGATTGAGTATATGGGCTTTCGTGGTTGAGATTTTCTTTTGTTAATTGTCAAATGACAGAGTACATTACTCAAAGAAAGCCTCTCGGTGGGTTGTTGTTTTTGCTTCCCCAAATGTTTAATTTTGAAAATAGAGGTGACACGGGGAATAACCATCAAATACATGACGACAAGCAGCTTATGAAGATCGTATTGGTGGAGCTTGAACGATTACTTTTACATGCCAACATACCTGTGAGTGAAATAGTAGACGAGATCCTTTTCTATTTGCCGCATATTGTTGGTTTAATTTTCTTTTTCCTAGTTAGATCGCTAGCTGATTGATTTTAGTGTATGCTTATTATTATTATGGCTTGAAGTAGATTATAAGACCATAGACAACCATGTAGAGTGTTGGATGTCCCTGTCATGTTCACTTAATGCTCAACAAAGTTGGAGTTCAAAACTTTACTAATCTTTGTAGGTTCCAGCTAACACTTGCAACTCACTTCCTTTATTGTTTTATTCTCTTAAATCTTTCCCCTCAAGGTGTTCTGTCTTGTTTCTCCTGCTGAAATTCTCATTTGTAATCCGATTTGTGATAGAGTAACAAAATTATTTCTATTCCATTTACCCTGCTAACTCCTAAGTCTTCCCCAGTTGATTCTCGCCATCATGGCTAGGCAGCCAATTTTTATCAAAATTTCAGATGTTTCCTTCCTTGCACCAAATTTACCTACCTAATAGAATGTGATAGACCTTTCATGTTTTTTAGTTGGATGGTTGCCTCTTTCCCGTGTACTATTGTTGAATCATATGAAGAACATGCTGAAAAATGTCATTCAATGCCTATATGTATGTGTGTGTGTATATTATAGTCCAACAAATAAGTGTGCAATAATGTTTATGGCCAAGAATTTCAGAATGACTACTAAACAATTGATTGAGGGCTTAATACATAATTTCACCTTGAATTTTGTTAATTTAACCTTGTGGCACTCTTTAACTTTTGCTTTGATTCATCAAATACCTTAACTTATAACATTACACCTATTAAATGCTTCAGCTTGCAAAATCATTTTATTGAACAATTTAACTTGTAAAATTAGATCAATTAAACACCTAATTAATTAGTTGAAAAATGTAAAAATTATTGTTCTAAAAGTTATGCTAATTGCACATTAAATTAATATTTACATATAAAAGCCAGAAACCCTATCAAAATGTACAAGTTCAAGTGCACAATAGGTCATTCACAAAGTCTAGTGCCCCACATGGTTAAAATTGCAAAATTTGGGATGAATTTATGCTTGGCCATTGATTGAAATAAAAGTATATGCTGAAAAAGAAACTCAAGATGCAAGATGAGTGGCCTGCGATGTTTGCTTTTGAAGTGCATTAACAATGTCTGTAAAGTGTGTGTCATAAGTGCTATTAAACCTATCAAGTGTAGGGATCCTCATGGCTCACTAGAAACTGGAAAATAGAGAATGGATCGGTCTTATGAGTTATTAGAAACTTTAAATGGACATGACAGATTAGGCAGGTTTTAGCTAATCTTTTTCTTGTATCACATTACAAGGTGTCTTCTCACTATCTCAAGCTAGATTACTTGTTGGGCTGTGAAAGGAAGCACAAATCATTTCTTGTTCCCTTAATTTGCTTGAGAAAGGAGTCTTTGGAGTCATTCTTTCCCTCGTGTGTGAATGCACTCACTCGTAATTGTACATAGGATTTTGAATATCCCTTGGTCTAAGATTTATGGTTCTAAATTAAAATTAAGTTGTATTCCAGATATCAATACCATATCATTAATGAATTATATCATCATCACCTATATTATGCCTGGTAATTAGATTCATCCCACTTAAAAATAAGCACCCAACCCTCTACTGATGCTTTTAAGTAATATTGTAATGGTATAAGACTGCAATCTTGTGTGAGTTCCTTGTGGTGCTCCCAATTCAGACTAGCATGTGAAGCAGTTATTGTACATTCAACCATTTCAAATAATTTCCCCAATTTTCTAAATTTTCACCCATGTGCTGCTCAGAGGATGTTTCGAACCCAGATAATTATACAGTTTTAAATATATGTTATCTTTGAAAATTATATCTACTTACCCCCGATGCCTTTTCTTTTCTCCTTTTTCCCTATTTAGTGACCTTATTTTGTTATGTATGTTTTCTAATCCTTTTTGGTTACAGTATCCTGTATATTTTGCTTTTGAAGATGATGACATTGATGCTGTGTTGGCTGATGTCAAGAGGAGTGATGCAACCGGCCAACCTGCTACTGCTACTACTGGCGGGTTAGTTGATCACCTCATCAACGGGATGTGAGAGTTTTAGTTGATGTGCAAATTAACATAGAACATAACAGATTTTTGTGATAGGATGACTTGGGTGCTTTTTGAATATTCTGCATCTTGTCTGTTCCTAGCATTATACAGTCAAACTTGCAAATTTGAATCCCTATATGTTGTCTTTGTTGTTTTCACAACCTGTTGCTGGGACTGGAGTTACAATTAGCTGCCTCTGCTCTCCTTTCAGTTTCTTTTGTAGGACAGGATTAATGAAGAACATATAAAAAAAGAAAGGAAAATGGAAAAACACATAATGAGATTCACATGGTTTTGAGGAGAATTAAGCCTTTAGTAAAATATGGAAATGGAAACACAGGTTGAGGGGACATAGACTGATCTTGACTAGCAGTTTGCATCAAGGTAGGATTCAGATTGCTTAGAAATTTCTGATCTTACAGTTCCATAGAGCCTTTGGTTTAATTAATGCATATATTTTATGAGCCATGTTTAGAATTAATGGCATTTACTCTTGCTCTTGCCTACTTTGTCTGGAGCTTAGAATTTATTTATTGCTTCTGATTTGTCAGTCATAATGTTTTAATAGTTGTTTAGAAACTAAAAAATTTTGCTTCCTGTATTGGTATTAGATCTGTATGGATATCTACTAATGGATGGCCTTGCCAAATGCAGTGTACTTATACATGTATATGCATTTGTCGCCATATATGTGTTAGTATTTTGTTCTGTTAGGAACAATAAAGCTTTGGAGTATGTTTATTGCTGTCAAGATTTCTGATGGCGGTCTTTGCTTGAAAATGTTGCAGATACAAGTTTGTTGTGTCAGCACCAGAACCTAAGAAAATTGCAATTCCCACCATCACAAACATTCAGGTCCCTTTTCAACTTTTTCTCTCATATGTGATAACCAGTTATAATGAAATAAAATATCTTGCAAATGATTGTTTATAATTGATATATCTTTGAATAGTTGAACACAGTATTATATTCAATTTTTCATTTGTCTTTGTCATGGGAAAATAATAGTCATAGGATCTTATTGATCTCCTTCTCATGAAGTGTTACTGCAATGGAAAATATTGGGAACTTATATTCATATGATTTCGTTGCAAAACTTTAACAAAGGACCTAGATTTTGCTTTCAAGAATATATCATTCCCTTGGTATTTGTTGTGTCCCATTTTTTTCATCTTACCTTGACTTTTTTTTTTTTTTATCCCATATCCTAGTTTAGGTAATTTTGTAGTGCCAGCGAGGTTGGCCACTAGAGCCGTTCTGTAGGCAGTCAAAAGTTTCAAACACTTGCTTCTAGCTTTCCCCAGCATGAATAATAACCTGATCCCTGCCACTGCCAACCCATGCTACCACTAAAAATAGCATCATACATGCATTAACGAACACTTTCGGATGAAAATCTGTTGTCTTCAACTTCTATATTTTAATCAATATTATTTTGAAATAACTCAGTGGGCTTTAGCAGCTCTCGGGCAAGAAAAATTAGTAAGATAGTTATGGAACCCACTCTCTTTCTGCCATATTATATCTATAGGCCTGTGAAGAGAAATTCTTACTTACACTTTGTCTACCATTTGGCTATAGGCTAAAAGGAGAACTTTCTTACATCATCAAAGTTCATGTAAATATTTTGTGCTAATGAAATTATTCTATTGGCTTTGACTGATTACACCCATGGGGTGAACATTTGGTTGGTTTAGTTCGAACCAGTGCAGACTGACCTTTTGTAGAAGGAAAGCCAAACCAAATCAAACCAAACGAAATTGTTTATAGGATCAAACCAAACCAAATCTTTAGTTTTTTGGTTTAGACTTACTTTTTGGGTTAAATCAGTTTGGTTTTAAGGTTTTTTGGTTCGGTTTGATCAGTTTTACCAAATTCTACTCAGTCCTATCCACCTATGAATTTCTGAAGCATTAGGTGTAAGCAACTTGAAAGCCTCTCTTACAATATCCATAAGGCTGTTGTTTGATTAAAGCAAAATATTATGTATTTTCCCATGTTTTTATTAACAAATTGGAAGTACTGAAACTTGGACATTATGTACTATTAGTCTAGAAAATGAAGAAGTGTACATATATATTATAACAGAGGGTAAATGCTGAATTGAAATTTTAGCATACACTATATAACAATAAACAGTAGACTTCCTTGTTTGCCAGCAACAAACGTAGTGGAGTCATTCAATCAATTTGAATTGATCCTAAATCTGATTCAAATCCAATGTAGCATCTACTGCTATAATAGAAAACAAATTTATTGACTGGAAGTCAGCCACTGTTTGCATTCATTGTACAGGTAGTCTCAATTGCTGAGAATTGTAGGCTTGTTGATCGTGCTAATGGTGCTTGTTTATGAACAAAGTTCCTTTTAAGTTAGCTACTGTTTCCTCATTCATTCTGTATCTTATCTGGACAACTTTTTCGAAACTATTGAACTACTAAGCTTATTTGTTCTGAATCTTATCTGATCAATCCTTTTAACTGTTGCAGGGATGGTTGCCAGGTTTGAAAGCAGATGGAGATCCAAATCAACTTCCAACCATTGCTGTTGTTGCATCATATGACACATTTGGGACTGCTCCTGTATGTGATTTATTTATTTTCCTTAAATAAATACTTCTATATGCTGTAATCATCAAAAGTTATTTTTGTAGGCATTATCAGTTGGAAGTGATAGCAATGGAAGTGGCGTGGTAGCTCTTCTTGAAATAGCTAGGTTATTTTCTCTTCTCTATTCAAATCCAAGGACAAGAGGAAGGTATAATTTACTTTTTGGGCTAACATCTGGTGGACCTTATAATTACAATGGAACTCAAAAGGTGCTTATCATCCATTGTTAGATTCAACTTTAATTATCTTTTATAGGCGTTTTACATTCATTACCTTTCCTATTACTTTAAATTCTTTGTCCACTTTTATTTATAATAATTCAATCATATCAATGTCTAATCTTCTGTAGTGGCTAAGGAGCTTTGATCAACGGTTACGTGAGAGCATTGACTATGCAATTTGCTTAAATAGTATTGGCTCATGGGATAATGAATTGTGGATTCATGTGTCTAAGCCTCCTGAAAATGCTTATATCAAACAAATTTTTGAAGTAAGTTGATGGAAATTTTAAATGAATAGAGCTTTTCCATTTTCAGAGCTGAGAGCTATTGTTTTTTATGATTTGACATGGAGATTTTTCCAGGGTTTCTCTAGTGTAGCAAAAGAGTTAGGTGTTGAAGTTGGTCTGAAGCACAAGAAAATCAATATTTCAAATCCTAGAGTAAGTTAATCTACCCTGATGATTTTATTTTTGTGTATCAATCCTAATCCTCCCTCTCCCCCTCCCAAGTATTTCTAATTTTCAAGTTACTGTTTAAGAAGAGTCATCTTTATTAATGTGGATGCGTGAAGTTTTTGACTTTGGAAAAGTAGTTAAAACTGAGATGTGATTTTGTTTGAATATAGGGTTTTTGACTCATCAAATGGTAGAGGTAGATAAGAGGTCGCAGCACTCATATTTTCCACTTTGTCTATGAATCCATTACCCTAAATTTCTGAGCTCATATAGAGCTAGTGCGGTGTTAGAGACCACCTTTTTTGTTCTTGACTGATGCTTTGATCCTGTTGCAAGGTTACTGATGTTAATGTACTTGGTGTATGCTTTCTGTTTTACTGATGACATTGCACTCTATTAGAATCTTGATCACTCAGCATGGGCATGTTGCATGTGCCTCAACAAGAAGCATGATCTGTTAGAATAATCATTTTTTACTTGATATGGAAATGCCGTGCATTTACTGCTCTCATTTAGACAAGGTGATATAGCTGTTGACATGCTGTAGGTAGCTTGGGAGCATGAACAGTTTTCAAGACTGAGGGTCACTGCTGCCACCATTTCTGAACTCTCTGTAGCACCAGAAATGTTAGAAAGCACTGGAGGTCTTTCCGATAGCAGGTTCTGCTTTTAACTTGAATCTTTTTCATAGATCCTCTTACTTTCCATGTTTTTCTGAGATATTGGTTTTCTGCACAGAAATTTTGTAAATGAAACTGCAATTATCAGAAGTATCAAGTTAGTTGCTGAGAGTATTGCGGTAAGGTTAACATACCACTGAATGAGTTTACTTCACTAGAATAGATACTTATTCTGATGTTGTACTTGATCGACGAATGCACACACATTTATTGACGTCCATCCCAATGAGGCCATATCAAACTAGAAGCAAGGTCTCAAGGACCAATTTGGTTCCTCTTTGTTTACGTTAATGTGTACATAAAAACTTATTTGTCCTATTATATACTTGAATGTATTGTTCATTTCCTAAATATTCAGATTGGTAAAAAATTCTTTTCTGGCAACTTCTGAAGAAAGTCTAAATGAAATATATTTTCAGTTCATCTTTTAGTTTTAAGATCCCTAATGTGACCTTTTCCTTCTATTGCATTCAGAGACATGTCTACAATTATCAAGGGGAGAAAATCAAAATCTTCGCAGACGATAGTAGTTTGGCTGTTAATCCTGCTTATGTACGGTCATGGTTAGATCTTTTGTCACGAACACCTCGAGTGGCACCGTTCCTTTCAAAGAATGACCCCCTTGTGATGGCATTGAGAAAGGTGACCAATTTTGAAATTATTTTTTTCACCACATCTTTATGGTCTTCTTGGTTTCTGTTATTTCACTAAACATATGGTAATTATTGTTGGTTTTCTCTTGGTTTTCGTTAAAAATATTCCTCTTTGTTCCCAAGTATTTCCACTGCGGATGAAAACTAAATTGAATTTCATTCAGTTACAGCCAACTTGTTTTTCTGTTCAAAGAATGCAATTGAGATTTTTTAATGCAACTGATTTTTTCTTTTTACTTTGCACTAAGCAATTATGCTTGCAAATGCCTGACAAAAGGAGATTGCATTTTTTGTTTTTCTTTTTGACTCTAAGGAAGTGTCTTTGGATTTAATGGTAATTTTGATAATGACATACTGTAGACTGATTTCTGTTTTTGCTGAGTTCTTTAGCATCTTTCATTTATTTTTGGGGAAGGGGCTGTTGGTGTTGTTTGGAGCACTTGGTTCTCGTGTGTTTATGATGTGGAGTTTGCTCAACTTCTTGTGGTTGCTATCAATTGGATGCTATGGCATATGGTGGTTTTGAGGCCTAATGCATTAAATCACTCTGAACTTTATCTCTTGTTGCAATTTTCACCCTATTTTGACCTGTGTCAATTCTACACTAATTGCGACCTTTAGTTGCAATAGCATCCTAAAACTCAATTAATGTTTAAATTTAGCATAAAATATTATTTTATGCAGGACCCACTTAACAGCTTGGGTTAACTTAACCCAAGCTTAGTTTATCAACCTATCTACCAAAACGACTCCATATTAGAAGCGGGGAAAAAACACCTGTCATCTTCCTCTCCTTGTTCACATTCATCTCAGTCTCTCTCTGCAAAGATTAAACTAAGTAAGAAAAACACTAATTTAAATTCTCTAATGGTGATTCTTTCAATAAAAAAAACTCTTCCTTTCTACTAAAATTTGCTATCTAACAATTCTAAACTCTGAACCTTGTTCCAGTCAAAGACTGCTATTCTCAAACAGGCCCACTCTTACTATTCCTTTTTTATATGTTTTCACCTATGGTTACTATTGAAAATCAGAAGTGAATTCAAGTTCACAACTGTGCTTCAAAATTCCCAAAGAATCGAAGACAACCCTTAAGGAAATTCCCAATCTTGGTGACCCAATTATCCTAATCCATCAAAAGTGGCTAATTAATTCTCTGAATGGTTATTACGAAGTGAGCAGCGAAATTTGAAATTAGTGCTCTTGTCCTCAAAAACTTTTCCATGGCTGTGTTAGCGACAGTACAAGAGGTTGTTTAGTTGTCACTTCTTTTATTGTCCTTTAAAGGAAAAAGAAGAATATAAAATTTCTTGAAATAAAATTAAGAGAGCCCTAGATTTTCTGAAGATATGACTGAGAACAAAGACATCGTCTGAGAACAAAGACATCGTTTCATGCATTGTTTTAGGGAGCCTTAAGAAAAGTTAACCATGGAAAGAGTTGGCCCGGAAAAATAATTTTATATGCTAAATTTAAACTTTAAATTTTATTTAGGGTGATATTGCAACGAAAGGTCATAATCGAGGTAAAATTGACATAAAAGTTAAAGTAGGGTGAAATTGCAACAAGATGCAAAGTTCAGGGTGATTTAATGTATTAGGCTGTGGTTTTGATAAATTTGATTAGTAGTGGAGTTCATCTATTTAGGATTCGTGTGTATTAGGCCAGGTATATTTGTCGAATGTTTGGAAGATAGGAAGAATACTAAGCCATAGAATATTGGGATAGCAGAAAAAAGAAACTAACTGTTCTTTTCAACATATTTTTCTAACTTAACTTGATGCATCAACTTATTAACCATTTTCCAGGAACTAGAAGATCATGCTCCTGAAGTAACTGTACAACATGAAGTGCTTGATGGGATCTTCACATTCTATGATTCAACTAAAGCCAAGCTAAACATATATCAGGTTCTACTGTCTCTTCTATCCTTTCTCTGGATCACAATGGTGTTTGTATGTGGCATTTTCATTTGGCTCTTACATGTCTCGATGACAGTGGTGTTTATGAAAGGACATTATTCTTATTAGCCCTAACATTCTGTAGAAAATGACGGCTCAATATATTAGTTAAGAGTAGATTTTGAATTTGGCAGCACCTTCTGTAAACCGTTTTTGTTATAATTTCCAAGCTGCATGCGAATATTAATTTAGGTGTTGGCTTTATGTTTTCCTCTTCACAATTTACTCATAATACTCGATGATGCTGACCCTATGACATTTTTTGTGATAGTGAAATCTAAAAGGAAAAACAGAAAAGCTCCTATATGCATTTTCTCAGCTTCTACTGTTGAATATATGCAAGAATTTTTTCCGTCCCATCTTATTTGGCATTAATGGTAATCAGCTGAAATGTGGTGTTGCAGGTTGCTAGCGTAACATTTGACTTGCTCTTGCTTCTTGTGCTGGGATCGTATTTAATATTGCTTTTCAGCTTTCTTGTCATTACAACTAGGGTATGTACTCTTCTTGTACTGTCAATGCTGATCTTATTTTTTGAACATGGCTTCTTTTCTTCATAAATTGTCATAGAACTGATAGTTGCCTATGTGGTTCAACAGGGTCTTGATGATCTCATAAGCTTATTCCGACGGCCTCCCTCTCGCAAAGTGAAAACAGCTTGATAATTCGAACTGGAGTTGCCCTCCACAGAATTCTCGTTGAAGATTCTCTCTTGTAACTTAGAATTTTATCCCCGTCAGAGAGGAGTTGGGGATCACTAGCAATGTGTTGTTGAGTAGTTGAGAATCATTAGGGATCATTTAAATTTTTGTCCTTGGAAGATTTTTCATAATTTACTGGGGTAGAATGAGACCTTTAACATAGTCGCAAGAAAAATTTTGTTACGATACTGTTTTTTGTTCCCAGCAAAATACCACTGCAAACATTCTTTTCATAATATTTGTATTAATTGGGATGATAGCTTCGTTCTTTATTGCTTTTTAGTACATGGTTAGTTTATATTACGAGATTAGCTAATTGAAAATATAAAGGTACACCCATTGTTAAGAATGCTTAGTACATTTGTCAGCTTTGGAACTAATATCGTTCAATGTTATTATATATTATTATTATCAATAGAAAAATGGTTGCCAAATTCACTGTTTATGGCAAGTGTTTGGCTTCCGTTTTGACAATTATTACCTTATACTGAAGTAAACTAGTAAAGTCATTAGAGTGGCTCTTTTCATTTGGTTTCTCCTTTCAACCAGATAAATCTTTTGGTATAAAAAAAAAAAAAATGTGATTGTGATACCAGACGTGTTAAACCACAATTGGATATAAGGTTTTGGTATTGTTTGCTCTTGTTGGATCTATGTCTATCAGAATGCCTTTAGGCAGTGCGCGATGTAAATAGTGGGTCTATGGCCACGAGCCTATTAGTGAAAAGAAAGAGGGAGAGGTAAACTCAGGTAAAGAGGTATACATGAGAGAGGTAAAGAGGTATGAGATCCTTCAATACGTAGTATTCTAGGGAAAGTATCTTGAAGGGAGGTAATATCAGTGTTTGAAAGAATTTAGTATTTGGCAATCTCAAAAGCTGGAGAAAGTCCTGTAAGAAAGCTCATGAAAACCATTTGCTCTCTCTGGATTTGCTGATATTTGACATCAGTGTTGAAGGGTAATAGGACATTAAATTTCTCGTAAATTTTCTCATGAAATAGGTTAAGGGGATTATCTTACTGACTGGCTTGATAAAATCTTTTGCAGAATTCATACACGCAAAGACCAATTCCCTTTTCTTGAGTGCAAAATTCAAGGTACTCTATCAACTCAATAAATTCACAATGATTAATTTAACTAATCATTTCATTGTTAATAGAATTTCGAATCTCTAGAAATAACTAAGCATCTTCCCTTTATCAACTTTGCCTAGTGTCACCAATTGGTGAATCATTAGTTAGATGATCTTCTTTGTCGACACTTCTCAAATAAATCCTAATTTTCTTACTCTAATCTAAATAATTACCATTAAGCTTATGTTTTGTGATTTTGGTTGTTGCTGGAACCACCTCAGTAATAACAGCTAGCTTTAGATTCAACAGCCATGATTATTAAAATTAAATACTCAATAAAACACAAAAGTGAAGGCACCAAACAATGGTCATAATGAGAAAACTGAGAAAAACCTCACCAGAACGTCATTGCATAAAAAAAGTAACCATTGGAGTAGATTGTTGACACTGAGTCAATGGCACAGAACAAAACTCAGTTGTTAGAAATTGCTTGCTGGCGCGTGGGGTTGAGCAGAAAACTTCTTAGGCCGCGTAAGAGCTAATCGTCGGTAGTTTGGTCACTGCACTTGGTGGAGCGACCGATTGGCTTCCTTGAGTGCCGATTGAAGATGATGGGTTTTTTTCGCAAAGGAATGAAACGAGCTTGGTTCATTTTATTTTGTCAAACCGGTTTTCTCTTATTAAACCCATTCATTAATCCTCAAAGAAGGTGATCCTTTTAGAAAGGGATTAAAAAAACGGCTCTTACTTTGATAAGAGTCTTGATTTGGAGTCGCCACCCTCTTTAGGAAACTATCACGAATTAATTGGTTCTTTAGAATCTTCTAATTCGGTTTTAATTCAGAGATTGGATAAGGGAGTTTGGTACGATATAAACAAGGTGTTAGACACTTGGAATTGCCCGGTTAAGAATCGACCTCCTTCGTTGTCCACTTATTCACAATAATTAATAACATGATTAACTAAAATCGAGATGTAAAACATTTTATGCATTTTGGAAATCATGGCAAACATGCACATTATCTCATACATACAACATAAATTAAATCGTCCAAAGAAAGGGAGAAGGAAAAAAGAATTACAACTAATATCCTAAATATACAATCTACCCAATTAATTCCCCAAGCAATTATTCAACCCACTAACTATTACAAATATACAATAATATGACCCATTAAGGTCCTTTACATTAAGCTTAATAAATAAAAGCAATGAACAAAATTAAAGAAATAATCACAAACACAAAATATACTCATTGATGAAAATTAGATAGCAACCACATTCATTCACAATGATAAAAATGATGAATGTTAATGTTAAGATGTTCTAAGCTAAGGTTAAATGGGTTAGATTTAAGAAAAATTAAAGAACATTAAAGTAAAGTGCATAAAAAGTAAAATACTGGAATTTAAATCACTTGGAAATAAAAGATAGTAAATTAAAAGCATTTATCTAAAGATTTAAACAAGATTAGAGTTCAAAGTCTTGATGTTCATCATGGTGGATGAACAAATACACCCATCACTACCATCTCTCTTGTTGATTATCTAGTCCATAATGAGTCGTTTTCGCGATTCAAAGCGAGATAACTCTCTGCTTGACTCCAAGGAACTTCAAATTGGAACCATTTTATTGATTTTTATTTTCTAGACTTCTGAAATGAAGGTCTGTGCACCACTAGAAGTGGCGTGCGCCACATGTAATGGCGTGTAGACCTTGCCTTGATCAGAAGACTCAGAATAGGATTTTAAGGCTTTTTGACTGGGAAAGGAGTGGCATGCACCATACTTAGTGGCGTAGACCCACTACTTAGTGGCGTGTGCCACTTCTGACGTAGTCAGAAGCTTTCTAGTTGATCACGAATTGGTCTCCCAACCTGTAAAAAGGTGGTGTTTTCAAGACACCAAAAGCAAAAAAAGTCTAATCTGAGTGTTTCTGGGTCTTTTAATCACTAGGTTATGGGTGTTTTTCTCCAAATGATTGGATAAAGACCTTGACCCAAGTGAAAACACAAGTTTTTCCTAGATTCAAAGTTTGAGTTTTGAAAATAGTTTAGTTTCCCTATCACATTTTCTAATGCCCTATTTATAGGCAAATGGGGAAAAGGTGGCCCTTTTTTAAGGCTTAGGTGGTAGGTGCCACTGGTGCGCCCTAAAATTGGGTTGGACCGATTTTTACCAAATTGACCCAGGTGGTATGTAAAACGAGACGGCGCATCGGGGAACATTCCGGCAAACTCGAGGCGCTCTTGGGCCCGATTTCACTGTGAAATCCCTGGAAACTCGAAAAAGTAAAAACGATCAAACAACTCAATTATCTTAGTCATGGACCATCAGTCTAAGAATTAGAGCGATCAGATGTCCCGATTTGATTTTATGCAAAAAGGTTATCATAATTGAGTTTTTTGGGGGAAAAATTGAGCATCTATAGTTTGCCCCTACTTTGATGATATCTTGCTTTTTGAGCAAGGTGTCGTCAAAGTGCAAAGTAGATGCGAAAGTAAAACACACTTACCTGATGGTTGTTGAATTGCTGTGTCTTGTCGAGACAAGGCGAGTGTCCTTTTAGACGGATTTGCATTCTTTGAACAGCTTGAATGTAGAAAGTGTGCCATCGGGGTGGCTTTGTTGATGTAGAATGCCATTTTGGCGGTGTTTGGCAGGTGAATTGCATCATGATGCTTGATGTCTTTTGTGTGTGACTGCGTCATTTTGGCGGTTTTGCTGAAATGCGTAACTTTGGATGAGTGCGTTCTTTGAACATCTTAAACTGAAGGGAAATGCCATTTTCGGCGATTCAATCAGGAGGTGTGCCACCAAAGGACGATTTAATCTAAAATGAATCACTTTCGATGGGTAGGTTCTTTGAATAGCTTGAACTGAAGGAAAACGCTAGTTTCGACAATCTGGACAGTGGTGGTGCACTAGCTGGGATGACTTAATCTGAAATGTGCCAGTTTGGGCGGGTGTCACTTTGGACATGTAGAGTGGAGGAGTTGCGCCATTATGATGGTCGACGACTTCTGCGGATGACTGCGCCATTTTGGCGGCTTTGCTAAAATGCGTCACTTTGACTTGCTGTCACTTTGGACAAGTGCCTTCTTTGAATGACTTAAATTGAAGGGAAACGCTAGTTTCGACGATCCGGATAGTGGGTGCGCCACCTGGGATGGCTTGATATGAAATGTAGCATTTTAGGTGGGTGCATTCTTTGAACAGTTTGATTGAATTGCATCACTTTAGACGAATTTGCAAAAAAGTAACTTCCTCTAACAGAAATGAAGGCGTTTGGCCAGTTAAGGTTAGTAATAAATTTCGTGATTATGCCCAAAAATAAGTGACTTTGCACTAAAATATGAAATGCATGACTTCGCGTGAATTTTTGTGAAATTGCATTACTTTGCATGAATTATTATGAAATTGCTTGACTTTGCATGAATTTTTGTGAATTTGTGTAAATTTATTGAAAATTGCACCGTGGCACTCATAATGAGAAAAAATTTTACCTGTTGGCCTAGAATCTTACCTGTGACTAGCAGTGATACCCCTACTTAGATGGTGGCCGAGGTGGGTTGCCGGCTAAGTATAAGAGTTGGTCGCTATAAATGGGCTCAAGCTCAAATTGGGCCCAAGGGGCCAAAAGCTTATAAATAGGTGAAAGAGAACCATTTAGGCTTCACCTTCTCTGTCAAGCACAATGGCAGTTGAAAAATGTCAGCGACTGGATTCCCAGAGGTGTTGTGATTGATCCCGTGACTCGGGTACTGACCCATGTCAAAATGTTCAAGGTGTATTTCCTTTGAGTAATGGTGATACCACAATGGGATCTTGCTACTTCAAGGCCTAAAACATACTTCAAAGCACCTAAGTCTTTGATCTTGAAAGTCTGATCAAGTTTGGCCTGAAAAAAAGTTAATTTCATCAAGATTATTGCTTGCCAATACGATATCATCAACATACACTAGTAAAATAGTTATTGAGCCATGAGAGTGTTTGACAAGTAAGGAAAATCTGCTTGTGACTGAAATAGATGAGGACGATTTTCTTTTTTCAATGACTAAAGAAACTAAAGACAGGCTTGGTTTATTTTAATTTATGAAAATTGTTTTTCTTTTTATTAAAACTGTTTTAATGTCCTCATGTAGGCAACCTTATCTGAAAAATGGATTTTTTTAGAGAGAAAATGACTCTTTGTCACGACCCATTTCCGTGGGCTAGACCGGCACTAGGACCTGGGTGGACTTAAGGCCCCCGAAGCCCGTAGTAAGCCTAACTTATTTAAATCTCACATTCTATTTATAATTATGGATTCAAGCCCATTAACTTATTTCACATATGTATCCAAAATACAGTTCATATATTTAACACTCTTTAGTAAGAGCCTAATTTGGAGTCGACACCCTCTTTTTGGAAAATATCACAAATTAATTATTTTTTTTTAGAAATAATTAATTTGGTTTTAAGAAGAGACTAAGTAAGGGAGTTAGATATGGTCACGAGAAGGTATTAGATACCCGAACTGCCCGGTTAGAAACCAACCTCCTTCGTTGTCCATTCATTCACAATTTTGATAATATGACTAACTTTAATTGAGATCTAAAACATGTTTTTATTCATTTTTATGAAAACATGGCAAGCAAGCACATTGATGTCCAAACATGGCATGTTAATCAAGTAAAGAAAGGGAGGGAGAAGAAAAGAGTACAACCCATCACCTAATTTACAATCTATCCTATAACCCATTAAAATTTTCCAACCCATAAATAATACAATCAAGCAATTAATAGGACCTATCAAGTTCCTTTACATAATGCCCAAATAACATGAAAGCAATAAATACTAAAAGAAGCAAAACACAAGTAAAAATACTAACATTCACAGAACATTAATCACAACAACATTCAATCTTACAATTAATATAATGGTAATGTGAATGTTAGAATGGTTAAATGATCAAATCTAAAGTTAGGGGGTCAGCACAATAATAAATAAGATACATAAACATAAAATGCTTAAAAATGTAAATGACAGGAATTTAAAGTGCATAAAAGTAAAATATAGTAAATTAAAAAGCATTATTTAAAAGTTAATACAAGATTTAGGTTCAAGACTTTAATGTTCATCATGGGTGATGAATAAACATGACTATCACCACCTATTTCTTGTTTTTTATTTTGTTATTGGGAAAATAGATTAGTTTTAATTGCAATCTAAGTGAGGATATGCGTTTTTTGATTTTTCTATAAAGGTATAGAAAGAATCGGATCGAACAGGCTTAGCTAATTTATTTAATAACTCGGTTTTCTTCATTTAACCCACTCGTTAATCCTCGAAAAAAGTTCTCTTACTTTGGTAAGAATTTTATTTTTGGAGTCGCCACCCTTATTAGAAAAAATTCTTGAATTAGTCGATTCTTTGGAAACAACTAACTCAGTTTTAAACTAGAGACGGGGTCCGGGAGTTAGAGGTGTTAGGTACCCATATCGCCCGGTTAAACCAGCCTCCTAGTTCCCTAATGATTCACAACGACTTCATAACACAATTAATTAAAAAATGAGATGCAAAATAATTTTGATGCAATTTTGGAAAACATGTCAATCAAGCATTTTAATGGAACTTAAAATTAAATATCCAAATGTTTGATTGAAGAGGAAAACATTTCCTCCTCCTATTCCTAAGAGTGGCTGAACCTACTAAGGTTAAGAGCCTTAAGTTTTTCTTATTCTTTTTGCTAGCTTATGTTCTTTATATGATGCTAGATAGGTATTTGACATGTGGTATAAATTCCTATGTCAAATCTTTAGTCTTTCATGAGTTTTCTATGACAAATGTATGACAAGTTTAAGGATTTTTGCATGATAGAGATTAATTAGTTGAATTGGTCAACTGTATGTATGTTAATAAGAATAAATACATGGTATTATGCTAGATAGGAAGTTAATTTGCCCAAGTAGACCAAGCATGATACTTTCTCCACTTATGCCATAACATAGGAAAAGTCACCTTTTTAGGAATATGATATGCCTTAAAATGATAATATGCTTTGTTCTTATGGTAAATCAAATATGTGTGTGAATTGGATGAAATGCTAAGTTAAACATTGAGGAATGAGAAATTTCCTATGTCTTGAATTATGAAAATATTGGGATTTTGCATCAAAGTGTGCATGTTTGACCTATGGATATGCTCATGTATATAAAGGATGCTTTAAATGGAATCTTTTGATTGATATATGTTTTAAAATGTTATAAGTGACTTTTGTGATAAAAATTTTCTACGTTAAGTAATTGTGCTAAAGTATGGAATTTTCATGAATTACTTAAATTTTAAACTAAGCTTACATTATAATTTCAAGAAGACTAAAGAAAAAAAAGTTTTATAAGAAGTGTTATGAATTAATATGTTTTTGTGCTCAAGTGTACTTGGTGTGAACTTGATGTGTGATTTGATTGATTAATTACATAAGAAGAGCATGCTCAGCATGGATCATATGCTAGGCACGTGGATGTCTTATGTTAGAGCGAACTCGCTCCATATATTATGATAGGCTCTTGAAGCCCCTATGATTATGTTGGCACATAAGGCCATTATGAATAAGTTATGAAATCTTATCCACTCCATCTTCTCCTAAGTGTATGAGAGCCTCTTAAAAAAAAATGGTTTCAAAATTAAATTAATTAATAAGATGATGTTATATATATTTTGATCTTTGTTTTTGGAATATGTGTGACTATGTTATTAATTTATATGAAAAGCATCTTTAAGGGTGAAATAAACATCAAGAGTAATGAATGTGAGATGTGATATAATGATAATTATAGTTGCTAATGATGTAAGTAAAATATGAAATATGCCATGAATGTGAAATCATGCTTTGTTATCCAAGTATTTTTTTTTTATAAAATGAAACTCCTTTAAAAATTTTTTGTTTAAGTATGTTGTCATCACACATTGGTAAGTATGTGTTTTATGAGCACCACTGAGTTTTATACTCAGCGCGTTGATTTTTATCACGCGTAGGTTAAAGATCGTGGTTGGCTGCTCGAAAACCAGAGGAGTAGCATCAGAGCAGAAGATATTATTTTGGTAGTGGTAGGATTAGTTTTATGTAATTAAGAATTATGTCATGTATAATTATTATCTATTTTGAGATTATGTTATTCGAATTATAACTTAAGCATGTTATTATATATTATTTTGGTGTATATATTTGGAGTTAAGTATGTGACTTATTTAATGATTGAATATTAAATATTTTCTAAGTTAGTTGGCATTGTTGGATTATTAGGACTTGTTATATAAATGAATGAATTTAGTTTGATGATTATTATGATGCTAATTAGGAATAACATGGTTAAGAAGTTATAGAAGTGTTGTTGTGTTGTATTGATTATTGGAGATTGATGGGGGTTTGGAATTTGAATTTGGGAGTGTTTTGTATTTACATGTTTGGCGAGCTCAGTTTTTAGGGGAAACTCTTGCAGCTTTTCTGTAGGATTTTTCCAAATCATTTTTTTTTAAAATTTACTTGCTAAACTTGTGAATACTAAATCACTTCTAATTCATAACCTGATAATATGATTTATATGTTAGTTAGGATGGTGCCTCCGGCACCAAATGTGCCCCCCCCCCCCCGAGCCCCCCCCCCCCCCCCCCCCCCGCCCCCCCCCCCCCCCCCCCGCCCCCCCCCCCCCTGCAATAATATGATTTATATGTTAGGTTGGATGGTGCCTCCGCACAATGTGGCTCCCATTCGGTTTTGTTCTCGGACTGGGGGGTGGGTGTTACATTTAGTGGTATCAAGAGCATTAGGTCTAGCCGGATTCTAGGACTAATATAGTTACATTTAGTGGTATCAGAGCATAGGTCTAGGCGATTCTAGGACTATATAATATAGGAATTTATCTGCTTTGAAGTGAGAGTATAAGTAGTTTAAGTTAAATACATGCGATATTGGTCTGGTTTGGAACTTCTCTCTAATGCGAACCTTTTGGTCTTTGTAGGAGTCTAGTGATGTCTCAGCACCCTTCTGATGAGAAGGTGGATAGCTATGCCCCTCTTGGTGGTAGTATTCCTGCTGGTGGTGCCGCTGGTGGTGTTTAAGGTTTGGATGCAGCGCGCGCCTTGAGGGTGAGGCAGGCTACTACAGGTCCTGTGGCGCCTAATCAGGATATACTTGTTCAGTAGTTAGTTGCTACTTTGAGGTAGGTAGCGGGAGTTGTTCCCCAGGCTTTGGACGTTCTAGCTCCTATTCTAGTTCGTCCTCCTATAGAGAAATTGAGGAAGTATGATGCTTTTGAGTTTATGGATAAGAAAGATGATATGGCTTTCACGGCGGAGTATTGGCTTCAGTCTTTGGAGAGGATATTAGAGCAAATGCAGTTTTCCCCTCAGGACAGTTTAGTGTATGCCACTTCCTTGTTGAAGGAAGAGGCTTATCAGTGGTGGGAGACTGTGTCTCGGGCAGTCAATACTGAGGAGAGGACCTGGGATTTCTTCTTTTCTGAGTTTAGACAGAACTATATTGGAGAGCATTATTGATCAACGTAAGGCTGAGTTTCTAGAGCTTAAGGCAGGATGACTGTATCAGAGTATGAGCGAGAGTTTATCTACTTGAGTATGTATGTCTCTGATTTGATTCCTTCTGAGTTGGATTGGTGCAAGCGCTTCAGGAAAGGCTTGAATGATGAGTATAGGATACATTTGGTTGCTCATCCCCACATTTCATTAGCTTCCCTAATGGAGGCTGCTCTAGAGCTTGAGGAGGTTAGGACTGAGCAGCAGGCCAGCAGACAGCGAGGTCAGCAGGGTCAGCATAAGAGGTTTTAGGGAGTAGTATTTGGTCAGACTTTTGGGGTTTAGTCAGGCAGTAAGAGACACAGAGGTGCACATTAGTCTGGGTTTAGATCGGGTCAGTGGCATGGGCAGGGTACATATGCTAGATCAGCTCCACAAACTACATCTATTGCTAGTGGTGGAGGTACTACGTGGACTGACATACCAGCATGTACTCAGTGTGGTAGGAGGCATGTTGGGGGTTTGTAGGAGGTTTCCTAGAGCATGCTTTCGATGTGGGTCCATAGAGCATATAATCCGAGATTGTCATATGGCTCCGATTGGTTCAGCTCAATAGACTGGGAGGTCAGCTCCCTTTGTTCTAAGAGGCAAAGGTAGAGGTCATTGTGATACAATAGGCACTAGGAGTCAGAGACCGGCTTTTGAGACAGTGGACAGGCCTGAGTCCAGAGCACCTGCCAGAGCATATACCATTCGGACTAGAGAGGAGAAAGATGCACTAGACGTCATAGTCGATATATTCTGTATCTTTGACACCCTTGTACATGCTTTGATTGATCTTGGCTCTACGCATTCATATTTGTGCATACATATGGGTAGTTGGGTAATATGCATGCTGACATGTTAGAGCATAGTATCGAGGTCACTAATCCCTTGGGTTATAGTGTGGTAGTTAATCGGGTGTATAAGGATTTTCCATTAGTAATTCATGGCTATATGTTTCTGGGAGACTTGATAAAGTTGCCTTTCCAGGAGTTTGATGTGATTTGGGGTATGGATTGGTTATCTAGACATGGAGTTATAGTTGATTGTAGACTTAAGAGGATTACACTCTAGACTTCGTTTGGTGAGGAGATCGTAGTTGTGGGTGAGAGGTCGGATTACCTCTCTAATGTTATTTCTGCTTCTACTGCTAGAACATTGATCAAGCATGATTGTGAGGCATTCTTAGCTTGTGTACTTGATCCAGAGTCGAAATCTCGTAATGTGCATGATATACCCACAATATGTGATTTTCTGGATGTATTACCTGAGGAGTTGCCTAGTTTACCTCCCGAGAGAGGTTGAGTTTAGTATTGAGATTTTGCCCGGTACCGCTCCGATATCCATTACTCCATATCGGATGGCACCTATTGAGTTGAGAGAGTTGAAGATTTAGATTCAGGAGTTGCTTCAAAAGGGTTTCATTCGTCCTAGTGTATCTCCGTGGGGTGCTCCAGTGTTGTTTGTAAAGAAGAAGGATGGATCCCTGAGACTATGTATTGACTACGGACAACTTAACAAAGTTACTGTGAAGAACCAGTATCTATTGCCTTGGATAGATGATCCGTTTGATCGATTGAGAAGAGCTAGCGTGTGCCCAAAGATAGATCTTAGATTGAGTTATTATTAGTTGGGGGTTAAGGAATCAGATGTACCTAAGACTGCTTTCAGGACACGTTATGGTCACTACGAGTTTTTGGTGATGCCATTTGGTCTGACTAATGCTCCTGCAGTCTTCATGGATTTGATGAATTGGATCTTTCATCCTTACTTCGATCAATTTGTGGTTGTGTTCATCAATGACATCTTAGTGTATTCTCAGACTAGAGAGGACCATGATCACCATTTGAGGATTGTACTCAGATATTGAGAGAGAGGCAGTTGTATGCTAAGTTGAGTAAGTGTGAATTTTGGTTATCTGAAATTGCTTTCCTGGATCATATCATTTCTGCTGGGGGTATTAGAGTTGATCCGAAGAAGATTGAGGCAGTACTTGAATGGAAGCCACCTAAGAATGTTACAAAAATTTGAAGTTTCTTAGGATTGCCTGGTTATTATAAAAGATTTGTCGAGGGATTTTCTCTCATTACGGCCCCTTTGACTAGACTTCTTCGAAAAGATGTCAGATTTGAGTGGACTGATAAATGTCAAAGTAGTTGTGAGAAGCTTAAACCGATGCTTACTGGGGCTCTAGTGTTGACACAGCCAATTTCGAGTAGACCGTATGATGTGTATAGTGATGCTTCACATAACTGATTAGGTTATGGCCTTATTCACATAAGTAATGGAGAACACACAAAAGCTTTGGAATATTATTTTCGGGTAGTAGCACGAAACCCTTTTTACCACAAGCTTTAAATAATATGGCCGTGATCTATCATTACGTGCGACTATCTCCACTATAGAAAGAAAAAAGAATAGAAAAGAAAAATGGAATAGGCTTTCTATATATGCATCGTCCAAAACAACGATTTTTATTAGATTTAGTAAAGAAAACAACTTCATAGAAGTCAAAATATGAAGAAAAAAATGTCTAGATACTTTATTCTATGGATAAAGGATCTAATTGATAGAGGAAGCATCGTAAAGATCAATTAGCAAGATTTTTGGTTGATACAATAAGAACTGCTTACTTATGTCATAATATGAGACAAAAGTTAGGAATAAACTTATGTAACAAAGTTGATCTCATAAAGTATTGAGCAGTGGTGTAGTATTAGATCCCAAAGAGAGTAAGTCTTTCTTTTAAGGGAAGGGCTTTTTAAAAGATTCTATATATATTTATATATAAAAATAGAAAAAGAAAAATAGAAAACTGGGATAGTTACCTTTCAAAAATTCTAACAATAGTAGAACGCATACACTTTATTCTTTTGAAGGTGAGAGAAAAGATAAAACTGATCATTAATCAAAATTCAAGTTTGAAACTCATCTAATTAACCTTTTTTGGTTAACTCGGGAAAAAATAAAAAATGGGACATTAAAAGAATTGACTGCTAAGCCGGATGAGGTAGGAAACTCTCAAGTACAGTTCTAATGGAAGGAATTTGCTCGCCTATTCTGACTGAGGGGAACAGGCCATTTAGCAGGGAGATTCTGAAATTGTGGAGGCTTGGTTCGATCAAGCCGCGGAGTATTGGAAACAAGCTATAGCGCTTACTCCCGGAAATTATATTGAAGCGCAAAATTGGTTGAAGATCACAAGGCGTTTCGAATATGAGAAGAGCGCTCTCTTTGTATTTATTATTTGTATTTATTATTTAATTATTTATCCTATTTATTATTTAGTATAATTTATTTATTTAGTAGTATAATTTATTATTTGGTATATTATTTAGTATTTTCTTTTTTTTACTATTTTTTTACTATTTGTTATATTTTTTATAACAAATTTTTTATAATTAATTATTTGATATCCCTATCGGCAGATCCTTTCTTTGGGAAGAACTAATCAAAGAATTTGGTGAATTTCATTATACCCCTTCGAATTCTAAAATCGTCCCTTTTCGTTGGTATTTCATAGGAATAAACGATACACAGATATAACTAGTAGAGAAT